AGCTCAGGGCCACTAGCAATCAAAGAAATGTAAATCAAAACCACAATGAAGTTTCACCTCACTCCAATTAGAATGGCTCTCATACAGAAATCAACAAACAACAAATGATGGTGAGGATGTGAGGGAAAAGGTGTCCTGGTCCACTGTTGGTGGGAATGTAAACTGGTGCAACCACTGTAGAAGACTATATGGAGATACCTCAGAGATCTGAATATAGATCTACCATATGACCCAGCCATTCCACTCCTGGGAATTTACCTAAACCAAAAGAAATCAGCATTTAAAAGAGTTATCTTCAAAAAAAAAAAAAAAAAAAAAGCCGGTGCTGTGGCTCAATAGGCTAATCCTCTCCGCCTGTGGCACCGGTACACCAGGTTCTAGTCCCGGTTGGGGCGCCGGATTCTGTCCCGGTTGCCCCTCTTCCAGGCCAGCTCTCTGCTATGGCCAGGGAGTGCTATGGAGGATGGCCCAAGTCCTTGGGCCCTGAACCCACATGGGAGACCAGGAAAAGCACCTGGCTCCTGCCTTCGGATCAGCGCGATGTGCCAGCCGCAGCCCACCGGCCATGGCAGCCATTGGAGGGTGAACCAATGGCAAAAGGAAGACCTTTCTCTCTGTCTCTCTCTCTCTCTCTCACTGTCCACTCTGCCTGTCCAAAAAAAAAAAAAAAAAATAGTTATCTGTAACCCCATGTTCATTGTGGCATAATTCACAACTAGGATATGGAATCAACCCAAATGTCCATCAACTGTTGATTGGATTAAAAAAAAATTATGGTATATATACACTATGGAGCACTACTCAGCTGTAAAAAAAATAAAATAAAAATGAAATCCTGTCTTTTGCAACGAGTTGGTTGCGACTCAAATCATTATACTTAGTGAAATAAGCCAGTCCCAAAAAGACAGATATCATATGTTTTCCCTGATCTGATCTGAGGTAACTATTAGAGTACCTGAAATGTAATATATTAGAGTGAAATAGACATTTTGAAAATCGATGAATGTGTATAGCCCTTGTCTCCTGTTGAGAAACAGTGGTTTTTGTTTTTGTTTTCTATCAGATCATTAAGTATATTGCAGAGATCACTGTAAAAATTAAGAGTGGGAATGTGAGGGGGTGGGAGAAAGTGTTGGAGCATGGATGGGGTGAAGGGCGGAGGAAGGGGAAACACCACTATGTTCCTAAATTTGTATATATTAAAAATATGAGATCTGCATAACTTAAATAAAATTTTAAAAGAAAACTGAAATAAATAAATTAAAGCTTTTTTAAAAATTAAATAATTTAATTTAAAATAATTTTTTTACAGCTTCAAAGATATTTTCATGTCTTTTCCAGAGAATACTGCCACTTGGTAAAAGCTCTCACAAAAAGGGAGTGTCAGTGTAGATAGACAGTGACCTCTTTCCAAATTTGAAGTTATCCCTTTTTTAAGTAAAATTTTAGAACAGTTTTAGATTTTAAGATAATACATAGAGTTCTGATATACCTTATACCAGTTTTCCCTACTATTAGCATTTTACATTAGCACAACTGTCACTAATGAACATTTAGTGAACACTATTACTAACTGCAGATTTCGTTCATATTTCCTCAGTTTTTTTAAATATCCTTTTTCTACTTCAGGATTTAACATGATTTTTTTAAAATATATTTTCAAAGGCAGAGGAAGAGAGAGGGAGAAACCTGGCTCCTACCATCTACCATCTATTTACTTAATTGCTCGATTCCAGTATACATCAATAGTGCTACCAGAATTACTCATCTGTAGTCCCATGGAAACAACTTTATCGACTACACTACAGTATTTATGCACAGTTCCTTTAGCCGTTAGTCCTACAGACAGCACTCGTTTCCAAAGTTACTTAAGGCAGCACCTTTCCCCCATCCCATTCAGTAAGACTGCTTCACACATTCCTACATTCATTCATACAGTACAGTGAATCTGCTGCGCATGTTTTGCATTTCATCCTGGGATTATCTAACACCCTAAATTATTATTTGTTTATTATCAAACAAAATAATTTGTTTTACTTTTTAAAAATTTATTTATTTATTTGAAAGACTTACAGAGAGAGAGAGAGAGAGACGGAGAGACAGGGAGAGAAAGATTCATCTTCTAGTTCACTCTCCAGATGGCTGCAACAGCCAGCACTAGGGCCAGTCCAAAGCCAGGAAGCAAGAGCTTCTTCTAGGTCTCCCACGAGAATAGCAGGGACACAAGCTCTTGGGCCGTCTTCCGCTGACTTCCCAGGCCATCAGCAGGGTGCTGGATTGGAAATGGAGCAGCCAGGATACAAATTAGCACCCATATAGGATGCTGGAATCACAAATGGCGGCTTTACCCACTACACCACAATGCTGGCCCCTTAAGTTTTACTTCTGACCTTGGTGGAGTAAGAATGGGAAAGAAATAAGTCACTGATAGAACTTGGAACGTTCCAATGTATAGGTTTTATTAAATTTTTATCTCATTTCTGCTTTAAAATAGAAATTTAGTGAAAGCTACTGAGCAGTGGATAAGATGCTCACATTCCGTATCTGAAATATCTGGACTTGCTTCATGGCTCTGGCTCCTGACTCCAGCTTTCTGCTAGTACAGACCCTGGGAGACTGTGGTGATGGCTCTGCCTGTGGGAGACCTGATTCTGTTCCCAGCTCTGGCTGTCTCTGGCTCTCAAACAAACAAATAGCTTTTAAAAAAAAAGAAAGAAAACTGAGTTTTCAGATGTGCTTGAACACTTTGCATATAATAAGTGACATGGTAATGATCAAAAGTAAAAAAAGAAGCTCCCATACATATATCTAAACATCACATGGTATCCCATAAATCTGTATAATATTTATATTGTTAAAATGTTAATAAAAATCTTCAAAAAAAGGAAAAAGTATTACCTTTCACAACTAAGAAATGAGTTTTTTAAGAGCTTCCAGTCACTTTTCTTAGTTTTACTACTTGTAAAATGGCAATAAAAAAGTTTTATCATCTACAACTGAAAATTTACAGTAAATATACTACCTATTCTACCACTCCAGAGTAAATAAGCAACAAATACTTTAGTGATTTATTTATAATAAATAAATATGCTTTAGCTATATTTTTCATACAACTGTGAAATTTTATATTTTTACACAATTATATTCATAAAATACTGTGCCTCTGACAATTACTATTCATTCGCATCTCTAAGGAATTATTTCTGTCTAGCAACCTGGGATCTTTTAGTCATTTTAATGTCCTCCAAGTACCCTTTTACCACTGCATATTTAGATTTATTCTTAAGCACACAGAGAGGTTAGAGAGATCTGGTGACCATTCATGGAAGATTACCTTGACAACATAAAATTCCAACAAAAAGAAAAAAGAGAGAAGAAACAGCTTTCCAGGATTCCTTTCAAAATTTATTTTTTTTTTGTCCTTGTAAGACTGCATAAATAACAATATACCAGACATACAGACTTCCAAGGATACAGCATAAAACTTCTGCTGTAACCATGCAATTTATTTAATTATCAGAGAAGGAGATATTAAGAATAAATTCATGAAGTCAAGTTTGAAGAAGCAAAACATGCCCTGGGATCCCTTAAGTTTCTTTATGGAAACTTATATTTATCTGCAATTCATTTCCATGCAACACATTTGCAGGTGATTTAATTAACAAATCTAATCTCTTTGTAATGAGCACTTAGGAAAAAGTCATGCTTCAGACCCTAAGTATTTCTTCTAAATAGTCTGGCAATAGTTTCTTCTCCCTCATTATTCTTGTTCAAAAATTACTATAAAGACTACAATTTCCTAGTTAAATATTCAGAGACAGTTCATCAATAAATCTTATTGAAAATTCCATCTTTAATAACCTTCAAAATTTTGAAGATACAATAAGAACACCAGTTTCTTTCCCTCAGGCTCTCCAAAGAACATCCAATAAATAAATCCCTGTTTTACTGATGCCAGCTTGTCAGTTTCCCAAAGGCTGCCTAAGACTCTGGCAGAAGAAAGACGGGAAGTGAACTCATTCTGAGCAAGGCAGAAGACCGGACCAAGAGGTTGGATTAGAAGCAAACAATGATATAATTAGTGTTCAAAGTCAAAGTGATGCTTAAAAAAACATCTCCAGCAGATTTCTAGGGAGAGTAGATTGAGGAAGAGATGTGAGCAACTGCCTAAAACCACTGCTCTGCACAGTCTGATACTATAAAAGACGACTTCAAATGCAGCTGACAGGGTCAGCTCCCTCCACCCAAGCTCCACAGGATGACCATATCGATCTGCAATACAACAGCACAACGACATAGGTAACACAATTTGGAATCAATAAAGTTTGATTTTAAAACTTCTCAAAAGTCTGGACAGCCACTGGAGGAGAGGCAATGAAGAAAGGCTAAGTGGCTGGCTGAAGGTGTCACCTGGAAAATGCTGCCTCATCAACTCCTCGCCATTTAAAAACCAGGGGTCTTCCTGTACAGACACTCACAGCCAGTGGGGCCAGTGTGCAGCCTCAGCAGGACTGACTGTTACCTTCCTCAGAAAATGATCTTTCCTGTGCTCTGGGGTTCACATCCTATGGCAACTGAGAGACAGGCACAGTAAGAAAGTCACAAAGCAGAGCTGGCTTTGTTTGAAAGCCCTTTCCCAGCTCCACACAACCTGACATAAAGCAGTCTACTCTCTCAGGGGGACTGTATAGGGACTCGGAGAAGGCACTTGCTCAGAGATATATAGCTCCCACTGACAGCACAGGAAGTCACTGGCAGAGATCTCTGCAGAGATGTCATTATTAAACTTGCATTTGACTCTCCTAACTCAGAAATGCAGACAGGTGCTTAATAAAGTCATCTTTTCATCCTGACTTAAGAAAGGTCGTTCTTTTAAGGGTTCAGCATGCCTGGCAGTTGACCCACTTCACTGTGGGTCTCAGGATTTTGAGGATGCCTGGGCATCTCTGCAGTGTCTGGGGCAAACAGGCACGGGGCAACAGAGCACTCGCAGAACCTACCTGCCACTCTGGTCTGAGGTCCACGTCACTGATCGCCCCTCAGGTTTGGTTTTGTACCATATCCTGACGGCATGAGGAAAGTCAGTAGCTGTCTGAGCCCCTTTCTTCCTGATCTGTAAGCTCCAGGTGTCAGTGTCAAAGAAGAGTTCTCCACAGCCGGGAGCCTGGCTGCAGCGAGCATAATAGTCTAACTGCTCCCTCCAACGATCTGCAGGCATAGTCACAAGTTCTTGTATAATCTCATTCCTGAGCACCTCAGAACCAACTGTGAGCCTGGGAGACCTCGTAAATTTTTCAATACCTGGCACAGCAGCCACATCCACCTCCTCGACCTTTAACACAGATAAATCACAGCAGTCCAACACTAGCAAAAAATCCTCACTCCCATGATCCCCTGTGTCACAGCAGTACTTTGAGCTAGAAATCCCAGAAGCCTGTTCCCAGTTGTCATGGTTACCATCTTTATCAGAAGTATCTTTTTCACCTTTACCACAGATTGTAAAATCATTATATGCCATTTTAGATGAGAAGGTCCTTGCGTTTGTCACAGGAACAGGGCAGGGTTCAGGCATCCTAAAATTAAAGGCTTCATTTGACTCCAACGGACAGGTTTCTGTGCTGGAATGACTTGGTTTCTTGAATCTGTTTCCATCCTCAAGGAAAAGCACTATGGTGCCCTCAATGACTTGACTTTCGAAATCCACATCTAAATCCAGTGCATAGTGCCTCACAAGCATGTGGCTGGTGTTGGCCAAGAGAGGCAGGTCATCTCGGGAAGGGTCCAACGTTATGTCCATGACGTAACTTGTTGTTTGAGAGCTGTGTTAAAAATCTCAGATGGGGTTTCCTATTTGCCTTAATCCTCAAGAATCATAAACAGCTGCTTACCAAAGTGGGGGGAAAAAAAAACTCGATGTCACAAGTTATGGTTCCACAAACTGTTGGTCCCCTGGCAAAGAAGAAAGACAAAATTAGACACAATTCCAAGACCCTAAATGCTCCTGGAACAGCTGCTCCTGGCAGACTGACTACCATCCCAAAATAATCCCCAATGTGGTAGATGCTCAGGGCTAGAAGGCAGATGAGTCTTTTTGACTGACATGGAAGAAAGCTGCATCACAGATTTCTAAAAACATTTCAATTACCAGTGCGATGAAATGGGCCTCCACGAAGCCAGAACTGTGCTCCCAACTAGAACAGACCTTGCTTTGGAAAAGAGCAATTGTTAGGCAAAAACGGAACTGAGCATCTCTGGGTCTCTTGTTTTAAAAGATATTAAGTGTATCATTTATAATTTGTGCATCAAAAGATAAGTGATTGTTTCTTTACTGTGATTCTAAGTAACAAGTGTGAATGAAGGCTAAATGGCCTCATACATTTATTCTTCGAGAGTAATAATTTAATACATACAATGCAACTCCAGGGATTAATGTACTTTTCACATTAGGGCTGCTCTCATATCAGCACTTCCAGTAAATTATGGGAAAATGAGCCAATTTACCAGGAGTGCATTCTAAGTACTCCTTTGAGATTGTTCACAGAGATTTTTCAAATTTATAGTTAAATACTCAAGGTATATCATTATATCTTAATAGCTGAAAACCCATTAACATTCTGGGTAATAGCCTTCTTGTGGCAAACAAAAGGTCTCCTCATTTGAAAAAAAAGTATGCAAATACCTATAAAAGGAAGGAGAGAAATTAAAATGTAGAAACAGATGTTGCAATAAAATGTACAAGTTCTTCATAAAAGTTCAGAAGCAAAATGTATTCTTATTATATAACAGCAATCCAGCTAGAAGAAAAATTATTTTAAATTATTTCAGTCCCTGATGTGTACCCAATTTCTTTTAGTATATGCTGTTCTTTTTTTAATCTTTTACCAAAAATGAAAAAGAAATATCAGAGGAAAAGAAATAAAAACTCTGACAGAGTTGATACATTTAAAATAATTTTTTGTATTTCTAAATATTAGGAGGCATTCTTATATAATCTACAAAAAACACTCCTTGACTTTTCAAGTAAATGCAGCCCCTTCCTGTTCATTCTAATTCTTCATTTCTCTTCTGACTTGATCTGCCTCTTCACTAGATTCTTTTATGTCCTTTCCTTCTAGAATCTTATCCCAGCAACCAACACTACCGGATTTTAAGTTTCTACCTCTCTACAGGATATTTCCTTAAGACAATCTCACCTAGCCTTAAAAAAATGTGGTCTCCTGCAGACCTGTACAATCTGGTTTCCAGCTGTGTTTCCCTTTACGGACAGGACACACCCTGAGCATCTTTGTCTTCTGCTTAAGACACTGCTCCCTGAAGATGAGCTGACTCCAGGCCTCCCTGCCTTCTGACTGAAGCCTTGTCCACACCTGCAGCGCTCCTGCCTCCCATACCTACCTGCCAAATCCTACTCTCCCTCCACACCCCAGTTCAAGTACAACCACCTTCTGAAATCCTTCTCCAGTTGCTACTCTTCCTGACGAAACTGTATGTGATGGTGACTTTAAGTGTAATGAGAGTCTGATTTCACTCTAGTGAAATTGGAGAGAAGCTGGTACTTCTCTTGGCCCTAGAGAAGTCAGTAGGCATGAGAGATGAGCCAAAGTATTTTCTTTTCTGCAGAGTGACTGAACTTGTCGTTTAATGAATAAGAACCTTCAATAAAGACATTCGTCATAACTATGAAGTGAGAAATAATGATGTTAAAACCTCATCCTGGCCAGCGCCGTGGCTCACTAGGCTAATCCTCCGCCTGCGGTGCCGGCACCCCGGGTTCTAGTCCCGGTTGGGGTGCCGGATTCTGTCCTGGTTGCTCCTCTTCCAGTCCAGATCTCTGCTGTGGCCCGGGGAAGGCAGTGGAGGATGGCCCAAGTGCTTGGGCCCTGCACCCGCATGGGAGACCAGGAGGAAGCACCTGGCTCCTGGCTTCGGATGGGCGCAGTGCACCGGCTGTGGCTGCCATTTTGGGGGGTGAACCAAAGGAAAAAGGAAGACCTTTGTCTCTCTCTCACTGTCTAACTCTGCCTATCCTAAATAAATAAATAAATAAATAAAACCTCATCCTGCTGGTGTTTCAGTTTTCAAAAAAAAACTTGACTAATAAAAAATAACCCGCAACACACACACACAGAAAATCTCAATCAACTAAGGATTCATTTAGTGGCTGTCTAAACCACCACATTTGAAGAAAAATAGTTTAGCATTTATAACAATATAGATATAACTATTTATTGTCCAGCTCCAATAGAATTCTTGAATTACTTATGAAAATGTGTAATTTAAGAGTAAAATATATTCTATAGAGCAATTTTCACCACTTTTGTCCCTGGTATCAGAGAGCAAGGCTGCTTAGAGCCCTATCAATTGAAGCCTGTTACCAAAATCATTGTTATCAGAACCAGCAGTCATTTCCTGTGGCTAACCACTACTGCCTCTAAAGTAAATGTGCTGTGTGTTGCGTGCACTCTAAATGCTTCAGTGCTGGTCACCCTGATCCTCTGGTTCTCCCTAGCAGGTTCTTGAGGGCATTCTCCATAGAGCCAATTCTAAATCTTTTCTTCTTTAACTTCCCACTTCCATGCCTATCTTATTTTCAGTTGATTGTTTGGTCCTATACTTTGCTGAGATGATTCTGAAGCTTCTGAAACTCAAGGGCACCTCAGAGTATCACTATCCATAAGCACTGTCTTCCCCTAATTCATCAAAGCTAATTTGATCCTCCTGAATCCCAACTTTTGGGGTCACTTGAACCAAATAAACAAAATTCTTCTTTCCTATTCAAACTCTGAACATAGTTAGATAAAATGGAACAAAAATAGACAAAATATCACTGTTACTACTGATGAAGGCTAAATCAGAGAACACTGCACACTTTGAGAGCCAATGGTACCTGGAAACGGAATCCGTAAGTTGGACTTAGTCACATGGTCACAGGCAATGCTGGCTCAGTGCAAAACTCCCAGGGGAGGGGGTGAGCTCCTCAGGTAACCCTCAGGTCTGGAAGAGCAGAGAATGGCTAGCTCCCTGCAGACAAGAATGCTGCCTAAATGCAAAAGGGACAAGATGGTGCAGAATGATCAGACTTAGCCAGCCCACCCCTCTTAGTGTACAAGTAGTCAAGGCCCGGGGACCAGAAGGGTTACATTAATTGAGTCTCCCACAGGAGGGAAACATCAGAAAAGGGAAATAAGCTTTCCTTCCAACACTGTCCCCTTCCACTTACTTAGAAACCTATTCATCTGAACAGTTCCTCCTTCCCAACAAACTCCGTCCTATTCCCAATATTTCAAACACCGCCCCTAGGGTTGGCATCCTCAAAAACAAGCAAAAACTACACTGGGCCCTGTTGCTTATTTTAACTAGCCTTTATTTTACTGAACTTTGGAGTTGGAAGATTTCCTAGGGCTCCCTCAGGCTAACGCTAGTTAGATCACAAAGGAAGATAACCAGGCCCAGAGAGGTGACTTGCTGAAGGTCCCCTACTCTTTTCATGCGTGAAGAAAAGGACTTTCTCTACTTGCTGGCACTTCTCTTTGGAATGTCATCCTCCAGATCTCACTGCCATCTCCTTCATAGTCCAAGCTATAATCAAATGTCACCTCTCAGACCCTCTTCCCTGCCTTCTTTACCTTCTTCAAGATGTATAGACTAGAAACCCACTAGGGGGAAGAATGGTTAAGCCATCCCCCAGAAGACACATGAAGAGTACCATCACCTTTGCATGGTTTCCAGGCTAAACCAGAGATTTGTGAATGACCTAAATCTCCTTTCTCCGCATGGATATAACTCTCACTGGCGTCAATTAGGGTCACAGCCCCACATTTAGGGAAAAATTGAACTGACTGTGGTTGCAAACTCGTGTCTGTGGCCACCTTGAAAGGCCTCTCTCAGCAAATGGTAACCATATTTCTAAGCAGCCTGTTGACTTCAGCACTTTTGGCTATTATTGCGCTCCAATTTAAAATGCCAGCCTGACTCACTGAAGCATTTTTCCATTCTCTGTCATAAGCCATAACATATAAAAGTCCCCCCCTTTATCAAAACCAATGGTTAGTTTCCCAGTGGCTAACCACGACTGCCTCTAAAATAAGTGTGCTATGTGGTGTGCAATCTAAATGCTGAAAAAGATCGTCTCAGCAACACCATGAAAGGTTTTGAAAGGATTAATGTACAGCAACATTTTTCTTAAGAAGGGGAGGGGATCCGACACTAAACAGAGCTATGGCACAGAGAAGAAACCTCCTTGCCACTCTCCATCACCCAAACTGAAAGAGCCTCTGTAGAGCCATTTGCAAGCCCTCCAGAAAAAATAATTTCATTCTCCTTTCAACTACAGAGCAGTGTGTTCCACTGTAATGGCCCTTAATTTATCCTGTTTCATTTTACAGTAACCCCCCTCCTCCAATGTTCGATAAACTCCATTGGGTTCTTGACTCATTTTCTTTCCTTTTTTTTTTTTTAAGATTTATTTTTTATTTATTTGAAAGAGTTACAGAGAGAAGAGGAGAGACAGAGAGAGAGAGAGAGAGAGAGAGAGAAAGACTCTTCCTCTGCTGGTTCACTCCTCAAATGGCCACAACAGCTTGAAGCTTTTTCAGGGTCTCCCACATGGATGCAGGGGCCCAAGCACTTGGGCTATCCTCTACTGCTCTCCCATGCACACTAGCAGGGAGCTGGATCAGAAACAGAGCAGCCAGGCTTCGAACTGGTGCCCACACTGGATGCTGGTATCACAGGTGGAGGTTTAACCCGTTACACCACAACACCAGCCCCTCTTGACTCATTTTCAAGCTCTTGCCCATGTTATGCAGAGTACTCTGGCAGGTTCTGAATACCAGTGGAATTGACATCTGAAGGCATCAGTGATTTCAGTGTCTATTTACTCGTAGGACAGGGATTTGGGCTTAAATACATTCTGCAGTCTAGTACAAATGAACATCTTCCTCCACACA